CCACGCCCCCTTACAGGCAAGCAGGCAGCATTCCCGCTTGCTGAATAATGCCAAAATTGTTTTAAATGCAATAAATGTTAAAAATAATGAAAATATCGAAAATATAAAAAATATAAAAAAAAATTTTTAATAAATTTAATAAAATACCTAACATTAAGTAGGAAGTAAAATATCAGAATAAGCTGTAGTTTCGTCAATATTGTTTTCCAAAGTGACAGCTTTTTCATGCATTTTGCATGATAATGCAAATAATTCTTTAAAATAGATATAATTTTAAAATTAAATAAATAGTAAAAAATATATTTTTTTATTAAAATATTTGACATGCGACCAGAAGCTTTATGTTGTATCCGAGCTAGATTTTACTTCACTAATTATTGCAATTTATAGTAAATATCAGTAAAACTATTCATGAGATTATAATTAGAAGTGACGCCGGGTCATGTGAAATAAGAAAAAAATGCTTTTAATGCCAAAATTGTTTACTATTGTGCAAATAAAAGAATAAAATTATATTAATTTAAATAAAATAAAATAATAAAAATATTATAAAATACGATGAATTAAAATAAAATTATATTATAAAATATAATTATCAAGTTAAATTGAACAAAGAAAAGCAGGAAATAATCGCATAAGTGGTTTAATTTCGATTGTATTGTACGTTTTACTCTTTCAGTGTGGAATTAATTCCCTTTAAATTTCTTACAACAGTTGTATATTAAGGTTTAAAAGAAAATTAAGTCTACCAAATTATCTGCAATAACATGCTGAACTTTGGTTCAAATTTTGAAATCTGAACATTAAAAATTGGAGCAGATAATCAGTTTTTTGCTTCTCCTGTAAAATTTAAAAAAAGGCTCATCTGCCATTTTCCCCAACGGGGAAAGTGGCTACTAGCCATTTTCCCCACAGGGGTATTTACCAGATCGGCCATTTGGCCGCGTAGCCGACGATATGCTTGTTTTGACGAGTTCTTTCTTCTAATCTCATTGAGACCACAAAACACTGAATAAAATTAAACGGCCAATTAAACACCCTAAAACACCCTAATAAATAAATAAATAAATAAATAAATAAATAAATAAAAATTATCCAAAACTGGGCTTAGAGATGACCTCACTTGACTGGCTACTTTCTCAACCTGTCCAATTTAAACTTAAAGCATGACCGCGAAGTAAAAAAGTATGTGCCTTTGAAAGATTATGTGAATACCACACTTGATCCGGTAGAGACCGGTTGATGAAGTAATTAGGAAATTCTGAATCTTGTGTACTTACTTGAAAAACTTTTTACAAGCTAAATTTTGTAGTTCTAATAAACTTCAATTCCTTTAAATCCTTTTGCGACCTTTCCAAAAATAAATTATTGAGGCCAGTTCTGTCTTCAATTACAGAAAAACTGTACCAAATAAAATAGAAGTTTAGACCTTAGTACAGGACTTAAAAAAAGCAGATTTAGTAAAAATGATATAAAAATATTTAAAAATAAAATGCAATAAAAATCACTTAGTAATATAATTTAAGCTATAGACCATGGATGAATTGCAATTTTTAACTTCAATTTAGATCACCATAATTTATTATTAACTGTGAAACACAGACAGGAGGAAACATAAATTCAGAAACAGCGTGGTAATGGTAAACACGATATTTTATGCTGTAACACTTCACCGAAAATGCATTTGGTTGCTTAATTCCGCGTTTTCACCGGCATAATATTAATGTGTGACAGCGTGGTGCAAAAAATTAATATTGCGGTTTCTAGAAAATTTCTCCGGGCGAAAATTATACTACTTGCGGTTCACACTGACAAGTGCAAGTTTAAGAGCAGAGGCTTCTTTGCAAAAATGGGATGGACAAGAACAGGATTCGAGCCTCCAATTTTTTTTATTTGGAACTCGGCGTTTGCGTTTGGACGCGGACCTTCTCATAATTCAGCCGCTGGCGTTCTGATCTGGTTTGAGTGAAAATCCGCGCGCTCTCTGCGGATGATTTCTTCTCAAAAGCGGTCTAATCTTCTCCTTAGTGAAAAAATAGCCAGTTTTTAAACTTTTTTTTAGTTGTTGATGATGATGAGGAGCCAAGTGCGTCGTTATATAAATAAACGAAAGCTTTTTCAAGATTTTAACACTGGCAATTATGCCTGCATATAATGCGAAAAACTTGACACAGTGAAACTTTTAACAGTGAAAAAAATCATAGTGCCGGAATTGCTTAATTAGCCAAGGGAATATAAAAAAGAAGTCCCATTGTGCGTTTCCGCAACTAGGTGCTAATCGTCTTTTGAGCTATTTGAGGAGAAATTGCTATAATTTTATGCTTTGTTAGGTGAACAGATGCGATTGTGCTGCGACCGCTGTGCGTGTAATTAGTATATGCGTTGTTATTATATGATGAATGTTATTGAACTTGCATCCAGAAACGGAAAGTGAACTTGGCTGGCCAATGAAAGTTATTGTCTGAATAATTTCCATTTTTGCTGGTTTCCGCGTGCAGCTTTCCTCCGACCGCAACAATGATAATAATCATTGATCTTGGCTTTCAATCGATTTGATATTATATATTTATACGCATTGAACCATATAATATATTTACTGACAAACAACATTCACTCTATCTTCGTATTTTGGAGAAAGCATAGATAAACAGTACACAATACAACATTCACATCTTCTACAATTCCAAATTGTTATTTTGGGTGAGAAATTCCTGCAATTATACAATTGCCTGGTGAGACGGAATCAGAGACTTAAAATTTTTCAATTTCAGCTAACAAAAATTCATACTATATATCAGTTTTTTTCATGGGAAATTATTTATAAAATAATGTTATTATTAAAAATTATAAAAAAAGCTTCAATAAAATAAATCATTAAAGCATAAATTGAATGCAAATATTCATTTTTAGAATTAAAAGAAATGTAATTAAATTACAAAAATTATATAGTTTTAATTAATTCATTCTCATAGAAAAGAATAATTCTTTTTATTTATGTTATAAACAATAATAAAACAAAGAACTTTGCATTTTATAGTTTTCCAAAAAAAAAAATACTTATTCTCATAAATATTTAATTGCGGTGGATGCATTTACTCTGGCATATTTGATTCATAATTTTACATTATTTTACGCCGAGAGTCACAAAATTAAGTAAGTACAGTCAAAGCCATGCATGCTCCCTTCACAAGTTTCCATTTTTGCACCAAAGGAAAAACTGTATAATTTATGAAAGGCAGTGGTTTGCGGCTCACGTAATGCATTTCGCACCAAAACAGAAAGCGGTATTGTGCTTTTATTTATCAAATATTATGCCGGCACCAGACGGAAATGTTAGGAACGCCCGTCCTTCTCACGAAAAGCTTGTCATCCAGGGTGGACGCCGCGAAGCAATTAAGAGAATGAAAGTGAAACCGGCCGCGTGTCACACAAAATCGCTTGTACAGGAACACCGCGAAGTGAAATATATTCCATGTTCCGCATAATGGCCCGGCTCGGAAACTTCCAATTCAAATGAAATATAATAACCGATAAAATGTATAATCTGGTTCTTTAATTTCACTTTCTGTTGAGGAGTTGAAGCGATGCAAACAACAGACGGGCGTCTGCTGGCAAATGAAATGATTTCTAATGGGCAGTGTGGTTTTTTTATAATGGAGATCAGCCTTGGTTATAGAGAGAGAAACACGTAAAAGCAGCAACCGAATAAAAAAAAACAGTGTTGCATGCGCAAGCCATGTTATTAAAAAATCTCTCTCGCTCGCCGAATTAATTGCGCGACGAGACGTGCCGCGCTTTTTGCCCAGCTCATCCGCGTGTGAGATTTTGTAAGTGAGAAAATCCAGCCGTGTAATTTACGAGAGGATAAGACGCGGATTATGAATGAACCTGCCCCAGACCAAATTGTCTGTAAAAGGGCTTAAAAAATTATATATGTGCAAAAATATATTATTTGTGCAGATGATTCATGTTTTATTTCACAAAATGGAAATTTATTGAGAGCAAAACTGGGCACAAAAGGCAGAGTTAAATAATAATGTTAGCATTATTTTTGTGTTCATTTCAATTATCCTCTTTTATCATTCTGAATTACTGAATAATAAGTATGCTGCATTTTTTGCTATGTTTTGAAATAAATAGCAAACAAAAAGAGAGCACAAAGTGTGATAGTTTTTAGTAATAAATTTATTTTGTACCATTTAATTTTTTAGAGAAACTGATGAAGACATGGTTAATTATTATATTAAATTTAATATTTAATAAATTTTATTTATATGTAAAAAAAATTGTAAAAAATTACATGGGATTATCCAAATTAAAAATTTAAATTGAAAGCATAGACCAAAAATTTATGTAGCTATGAAGCAAATTTGTGGGAAAACCATGCTTAAAATAACAAAAATGCGTTCGCTGGGAAAATAAAATCATATGTTTTATCTAAATTTAAAAAAAAAGATATCACTATGTAATCAAATATTCATTCAAATAAATTAGCCACGATCATTTTTAATTACAGCAACGGGGAAAGTATGGTTTAACAACTGCAGCATCCGATTTCCCACCGTTTTTTCTATTAGTTGAAGACTAGCGTTCAAAAATAAATCATGGACTTACCTTTGATTCTGCTGGTCAGCTGCCCTCTAATTTAAATTTCCTTGTCAGGGCCGGGCTGCTGTGTTTTGCCAAAAGACCATCCGCACTCCGCACCCCATCATCTTGTTCTCACTTTAAAGCTTTGTCTCAATTCTCAATCGCCAACAGTTCACAAACTGCGACAAAGAGTTCACGTGACGCATCTTCCCGACACACACGTACAAGTCTAATACATAAATTGTAAGATTTTCATGAGCTAATATGGTGGAATGTCCGATATTTAGCATCTTAATTTGGCAACAGTGCGCCGGCTCGTTGTGCGGCGCTGACGTGAGACGAGAGGGAGGAGAAAGAAAGAAAACAAAACAAGTCCACGCGTGTTTCGCCCAATTCGCCCTCTCTTGTGACCCGAGTGCGTAGACAAACAAAATTCACAAGCTCGCCTATTTATGTTGTAGTGACTTACGCACTTCTTTAGTGAGAAGTGAGATCCGTTCAGTGCAATCGCGTGTGTTCTCCAAGATGAGACTGTACAGACCAAAGTTGGACTTGAAGGGTTGAAGTTTGAGAATGAAAGACACATTTTTTTGACTAAGGACTGGATTCATACACAACTGACAGTCATCCCAAGGACACGCATGCAAAGGTAGGTGCCTTATTAACTAATTCTTATGCAAATTATGTCAACAATCGTTGCTTTATTTCGAAAAATTTCTTTGGAGATATTTTATTGAAGTATTTACAGCAGTAATCGTAAAGTTATCAACTGCTAGGACGATATTTTGTACAAAGGACATAAAAATATTAAGTCCTTGCTGGTGACAGTAAATTATAGTGCTTTAATTTGAGGAAATTCGTAATCAGAAGGAAGTTACGCAAAACACGCCACATTTTTATTTTTGCAATTTCTTTGCCATTTAGGATATCCTTAAATTCCAGTTCTCGATTTCTCTTTTCTTTGACACGTCCCATGATAATTAATGCGCATCCCGTGTCATCAAGTGTACGTACGCCAATGTACCGACATCTTCAATTAAAATAACACGTTCAAGAGATCTGCGAATTTTCTCAGCCATTGTGTTTCGGAAAAGTTCAAAATTCTCAGCACTGCAGTCGGGAATAATTAAATTGCTTGCAGTCTTGCTCTTGGTGCATTGTTTGATTGTGTCTCCGTGAATATTTCTTCACACTCACTCTGGTTATCGACTCCGGTTTTAATAAAATAACATAAAAAAAAAAAAGCTCGCTACTGGAGCATGCAATGTGAGCCACCGTGTAACATAACCTAGGCCTTGAAAGTGAGCGCGCGAAAGAGAAAAAAGGTGAAATAAAATAAATAAACTTTCTTCTTTGCCTATGTCGACTGTCGACCCGCTTAATTCTTCCAGACATGCAAGGTGCAGCGAGTGGGAAGACAAACTCGGAATTCGCTCTTCTGATCTAATTTGCCTTTTTCGTCTCGCGTGCGTTACTATTTTCTTCTGAGCCTAAATTGCAGGCTCTGTATAATAAAAGTTGCTTTTTTCAAGACATTATATTTTTCTAAGGATGATTAATAAATCGCAATCGATGACTTAATTAAAATTGATGTGAAATATATAATTTTTTTTTTTAATTCAAGAACACTAATTGTAAGCAAAATGTAAGTTTTTTTTAAATACTTCTACTTATAAAAAGGCATTAAATGTTGTCCTTTAATTGTTCGTGGGGATTTCTTGCAGTTTCGCATGTCCAGTTACGACAGCTTTTTGAATTTAATTTCATATTTAAAACCTCATTACTATCTAACCAAGTACATTCAAGTCCTTTTCACTCCATTTACAATGCAAAAAAGTTAAGTAATTATAATTTTTCGCTTGTTATTTCTCTATGAAGTATTATGAGAATTTAAAGTAATTGCATTCTTTTAAACAAAGGGATAATTAGTAAGGGCTCAAGTTGGATTAAGTTTGTACGGGCACAAGGGCAGTGATGAAATGTTATTTGCGTAAAATGTAAAATATGGAAATCATGGAAATTTAAAGATTTTGTTAGAAATTTAAGAAAAGATTTATATAAATCAGCTGCTACTATATCAAATTATTTATCCATTAAAAATTCCTTGGATTATTTTGGCAATAATGATAAAAGATTTTAATTTTTTTAAATGTTTTCTCTTACAAACATCATAATACTTAACACTGTCAGTGGAAGAAACAAAACGCAATATATATGAAGTAGTATCTAGAAAAACAATCATGAAAAGCCATTAAATTTGATTTTCATTTAATCTTGCAACGTGCACCTGAATAATTAAGTTTTTTGTACGTTAACCACACAGCATAAAAAGTAATGATGAGAGAAAGGCCGAGAGTCACGCCATCAATCCACGTCTTGTGAGCTATGAATGTTCATCTTCGGCCAGCAGGAGAAATGCACCGAGGAATCTTGGTGACCTCTCAAGAGGAAATGATAAAATCGGTATAAAAATCAAGGTGAAGGTCGAAGTGGCCAAAGAATTATGACCAAATAATGTGACAGCTCCTAAAAATAATGGGCAGCTCATTCCACAACATCACGAAGTAAAAAGGAGAAGAAAATGAAACGCACTTTCTTCAATTTCCGAAGGTCATTGTTGTTACATTAATCGATCTCGTAACAATCTAATTTGTTTGTGGTGACTCTCGGAAGAGAGAAACTTCCTTCCCAGCAGCAGCATAAGAAAAATGCATTCGCCCCTCGGCAACATGCAACTCACTATCCTGCAGTTGAAAAGATACGGACCAAGAGATAGGAACGCCTGCAGCGAGCGTGCATGCATGAGAAACTGCAGTCTTATTTTCAAATTAAAGACACTTGAATGAAACACGCTCGAGAGAAATGATAAAATGGACAGGGCCTTACTCTCTCCGGCTGCATTCCCAGTCCGCGTGCACTTCTCACTGCAGCATATTTATTTATATCTTATGTGCTTCTTAATGTAATTAGCTACTAGAAAACCTGTTTACCAGACTAGCTGGTAATAGTCGTGAAAAGTGAGAGATGCAGCCAGGAAGAGCATCAAAGGTTGTCGATATAACAGAAAGTGATCTCTACCTTTGATCACTGCAGTCTAATCATTACTCCTCCCTTAATACGATTCCGAGTTTAACTTGATTTGAAAGAAAGCAACACATGCATGACATTGTAGGTAAAGATTTTGCTTATGAGGCTGTAAGATTATGCAACCAGCGAAATATCAACTCGATGGCAGGAGAAATCAAAATTAAACCAATTTACATATTATAGACAATTTGTTCTATCATCATTGCTATTTTTTTTGTTATAATTTATTTTAATTAAGATTTAAAATAAATGTAATATCTCTTCAATTCCAATTTTGTAAAATTCAACACTATATTTTGCAGTATTTTGGTATTTTACAATCAATCATAACATAACTGCACTTGTTGTTGATTACTTATTTTTAATCCAATTGTAATTTTTTTGCTAGTTACTTTTTTCTTTAAATAACACCAAAATCCTAAATAAGACGCCCGTACGCACTGCAATCAGCAGATTATAACTCAGGTAATTAAAAATAAATATTAATATTAATAATTTATAATTTTTTAAAAGTTTGAATTGAAAAAAAACTCGGGGTTTAAAAATTCAATATTGACCTAGGCTTCAACTTCAGACGTCAAACAATTTTTATACATTGACAGTTGGTGTAAAGACACGGACAGATTCAAATCAAGATTGCAACGTGCTGAGTCAGTTGTTTTTATGAGGATGCGTTTTATCAGATATCGTGATTAGCTCAAGTTGACTTACAATTTCATTAAATAATGAAAGCGTTACTGTTCTCTATAGGTGCTTTTGTAGAATGGCCGGCAATTGATGTTCACCTTTTATAAATTTATTTTTTCATTGACAGCTTCATGAAATAGATTTGGATTGAGATCACGGCGAGTGTGAATGTGCGGCTCGAATAGCGCCCGACGCCGAGCCCTGCCCATGCCATTGGCACGCTATTTATTAGCACATGAAGCGACCACATAACACGTGCTAATAGACTCGGAGGCTGTGAAATTTCCCTTTTAAAGATCCGCGTGAAAGAGAAGGTCGCGGATTCTGTTTTTCTTTCTCTCGCCGTCGCCGTGGGCATTCAAATCGTAAATAAAATAAAGAAAATAATTAGAAATGCAAATTAAGCTTGCAAAAAAGAAAAAAATTGGCAGCTCATCTGAAAAAACGTTTCTTTAAAATATAATTCGACAAATTTTCACATCTTTTTAAGTATTTTATTTATATGAGATTCAGTCCGGCGCCAACTTTGCAGAGGTCAAGTACCTTTGGTGCTGATTGGAATATTCAAGTGCAAACAATGCTTAAATTCAACTTGGAGAAATTTCACCACGCCTTCTCTGCTATAATAAGTGCTGGCGATCGCGTTATTTTTTTGTATCGCATGAATAAATTTATTGCTCTCGAGAGTACAAGGGCCGAAAATGAAACCAGAAAACCCAGACCATATACAAACGCACTCACACACGCGTGATGAGTTTTCTTTGCACTTTCTTCGTTGAGGTATTGAGGTGAACTTGCTCTCAAAGTTGTGTTTTATTTCTTACCCAGATGCATAAGTTTGGCAAAAGCACGCGTCGCTCCGCACGCCCCAATTACTGCAGACGCTTCTACATAGACATATAATATAGAAACTCGCACAATTTGTCTGCACAGAGCGTTAATTATTTTGGCGTAAAATTTTATCGTCAGTTTAATCGCATTGCAGAGCTACAGATTAAGTGCCACCTTGAAAATTTAATGGTTTATATCTTTGGATGCGAATCTTAATTAAAAACTTTCATTCTCCTTTGGAAAATAATGTTGTGAACAATTTGAATGAGTAAGCATTCATTTTTATATTTTTCTTTTCTTGATGCGATGAGAGATATTTGCGAAAAATAAACCGATTAATCTCTGCTCAGTGAGAGTAGAACTAAACAAGAAGATGCACTCTTTTATTTTCAAAAGCTATTAAGTCCGTTGCCGTAAATAATTAATTGCTATAATTAGACTGCTAAGGAGTGTCCATCAGGCAGATGTTTGTTTTTTTTTTCGATTAAGGATTCACTTTTACACAAAATCTCTGACCTTAATTTTTCAACATATCTTGAAGCTCATCACCACAGGACTGAGAAATGACTCTTCAGGTGAATTGTGACTGTGAAGTTTTTTTTTTTTTTTTTGATAAAAAGTAATTCAGAAATTCCCAAAGTATATCAATTTTTAAAACAGTTTAATAGGAGTTTGGTGAAGACCAAACACCAAACTAAAGATTTGCAGACGGCTCAAAAGATTTTTTTTTTTAAATTATGTATGTTTCAATTATATAAATTATTCTAAAAATCTTCAAATCAAACGTCACGAATCTTCTGAATAATTGCCTTAAAAAAGTTCATTTACATAAATAATTAAAAGCAAAAATGCAGTTAGGTTTGTTAATTTTCTCTTGAGAGTAATTGAATTTGCTTAATTATGCAGGTCGGAGCAAAAAGCAAACCACTCTTGGGTGTAATAGGCACTCTTGTTGTGATGTATATTCAGATTATTAGATTTACACTCTAGCACAGTAGCCTAGTTTTTATTCTCGTGCAAATTGCACACCGCACGTGAGCACGC